GCCGAGGACTGAGGGGGAGGAGGGGCCAAAAGGAGAGAAAATGAAGAGTTTTCTAAAATGCCTTTGCATTTCATTTGAGATCTTCCGAGATCAAATGTCCTTATATTCATTTTTGTTTTTCTGATTAAAGCTTGGCTCAGCATCCACTCTGTACTGTCTAGGGGTCATTATTTGTTTCCTGTTAAAAGGCTTAGTTTTGTGTCTCCATGCAAATTTACACTGTGAAGTGGCTGAAAAAGGAGCAAAGATGAAGGGGCGTGCACAAGACAGAGAAGAAGTATAACAGAAGGTGGAGTAATAAGCAGGTAGGTTAATTAAACATGCACAAAATACGGCCACACACACACATTGAACAGCAACTGTGCACTGGCTCACGACAAAGCCACATTTACACAGTAATGATAAAATAGTGACACCAAGCCTGTTATTTACTCACACAGAAGGCTCTGATCTGACAGGAAGCATACTTATAGTACACACATTGTCTTTTGGTAATCTGTAAATTTTAGGAAAATTCTAGAAAAACAAAACACATTGACAAACCACACTACAGATGAAACTGAACATTAGGCAGTGTCTCTGCTGCACATCAGTGGGTGTCACTTACCTCCTTTCATGGCCTGCAGTATACTGGGGAAACCAGCAGAGCTGCTAAAATGCATTTTGGAGCAGAGACGCAGAAACGACCCGAAGTCACCTCTTGCTCAACATTTGAAAGAAGCTGGCCATTGAGTCTCAGCGCTGTCACTGTGTGCCAGACTGTAAAACCACAAAGAACTGGTAACTTTGAATACAAACTAAGGAAGATTATATATGGGAGGTTCAGGAGTAGGACTATACCTTCAACACACATCATTTCCCGTCCTTGTCTATAAATACTTCTCAACTCAACTCAACTCAACTCAACTTTATTTATATAGCGCTTTACCACAGCACAGCTGACCAAAGCACTTAAGATATACAAATATAAAAACAACACATAAAAAGCTATAGACAGTAATATAAACACTAACACCACGGACAGAGTGTCATTCCTGGTCAAACGCCAATGAATAGAAGTAGGTCTTCAAATAAGACTTAAAAGTGGACAGTGAGGGGGCCTGCCTAATATAAAGCGGCAAGGCATTCCATAGGTTTGGACCTACCACAGCAAAGGCTCTGTCCCCCCTAGTTTTCC